ATCTATATCATAATGCACTAACATTCTGAGGCTGCTGTTGAAAGACTGCTGGCAACTAGCTGAACTGCAGCAGCATCACAGATACAAAAAGCAGGCAAAAGGTTATTAGTTGTCACGATCACACAAGAGGCAAAACTAATTGGTATCTAAGGCAACAGAAAGGGGAATGCGAGAAGGGAATGCATTTTGCAGCAATACCTCTCAGTAGTTGGTCGTTGGGACATTTTTGACTCAAGCACCTAGACTCCATGACCACTGGCCATGAAGGTTGGAGTTTCTTGGAGCTCAGGTCTAAAAGATCTCAAAAACCAAAGCTGTGATCCACTGACTGAGGTGACAAGCGTGCACAGAGGTTCAAAAGGATTTTCTAAAAACAAAAAAACCCTAATTTTCAATAAGACCTTTTTCATTCTTTGAAAACAAATACATTAGAAACCCAGCAAAAGAATAGTCTCCCAAACACGAGTCTTTCAATTGCTAACAGAGAACAAATTAATAGCCTTTACCTTCCTATCATAGAGCTTGGAGATATATGGCTTAAAATAATGTTCCTTTATGCCCTTGGCTTCTACTAAAAGGCCATCATGTAATTCACAAAGTGTGGCAATAATGCATGGAGGTCCTTCAGAGATCCTGAAGTCAGCTTTGTGGAAGTCTTCTGGCAAACCTTTTATTTAAAGCAGAAAGTGAGAAGAGTTTTTTTCCCCCACAAAGATACATGTCTTTCAAAAGATATATGGAAAATTGTATTTTAGTGAGAGAAAATAAAGATCATACCTTTGAAAGAGGAATTCAGTAAATCTATTTTATGTGGACATAGAAGTGCATTTGTATAAATCAGGTCTAAGCAGCACAGAAGTAAATGGTATGAATTCACCAGATCATCTCCGATCATACTGAAATTACCTTTAGAAGAAACAATATTAGGTCAATTAAATCACAATTAAAATCACATTCAAAATGGACATGGGGAGGGATTAACTTACCTTTGGTGTAAACAAATAGTGTCCAGCAGAAATTGAACAGATCTTTAGCACTACAAGGTATCCGCCTATTGGAAGAAAGACAAGTTTCAGTTAAACTAAAGATAAGCAGGTCTGCCCATGTTTCCTGCCAGTGTGCTGTACATGTGTCTGTCTCCCTGTTCCCCAGAGGCAATTAAATTCTTCTGCCAACCCAGGAAGTTTGGGAAATATGCACCAATTGGCTGGCATGGGAGAAAGAAGATGAGGAGTAACAACAGAGAAGGGAAAAAGAAAAAAGAAAATTAGAAAAAAAACAGCCTTTTATTTAAAAAATCTAAAGAAAATCTAAAAAAACAAGGGAAAGAAGAGAACAGGAGAAGGGATTCAAATGCCAGAGAGAAGGAAACACAAAGCTCTCTTCTCCAATATTTGAAAAGAGAGGAGGCAAATAGCAGGCCAGGTCAACAAAGTGAGTTCGTATTCCCCATTAGTGAGGGGCCAGAGCTTCAAACTGATTAGTTGGAGAACCTGTCTGTCAGAAGGAGTGTGAGGACAAGACTACTCCTGGATGACTTCCAAACACCAAGGGAGAATAAACAATCTCTTTTCTTTCATGCTATATGAAATCCAAGTATCCAAGTACCCCTGGCACAGCAATTACCTCTGTTTTCTACTTCTTTGTAGCTTTGGTTGTTCTTCATAAGGATTTTTAAATATATCCAAAAATATTGGTGTGAACTTCTTGAAAATCACAGTGGACACTTCAAAGTTTCTCTCTAGTCTCTCCACTCTCTCTCGAAACTCATGAGACAGATTTGACATGTCCATCCATTTTTTCATTTTACTAAAAAACTGAATTAAACTTAAAAGAAAAAACAAAACATTAAAGTGTATTTTCCTCCTAAAAGTTCTCTAGATTTTTTCAACATACAAGGTTTTTTACTAGCTCTCTGTTTTGGACCCATATAAATGTGCTCAAGCCATTTATATCACAGGACTAAGCAGAAATTTGGATCTCTCTCCTCCAGATACATTGCACAATTCTTAGGACAAAAAGCCAAGTGAAAAAAAAACCTAGATAAGGCTAAATTAATTTTTTTGCCTCAACTAGAGCAGACATATCTAAATGAATGTGATCGCATCTATGCTAATCAGTCTCATAGTTTTTCAATAGGTTTGCTGTAGATAACATCTAGTGTTTCCAATTCAACTGCGACTTTAATTTTAAAAACAGTATTTAAATCATGTTGGTTTTTCTGAATGTTTACAATACCAGGGTGAAAAAC